TCTTCGCGAAAAATATTAACTATATTTTTTTCTTCATTCCATTTAATATTTCTGGCCAATTTCTCAAAAAAAACGTCTGATAAGTTGATCTCCATAGGAAGGTAAATTTCAATAACTTCTCCGATTTGCGTATCTAACTGGTAAAAAAAATATTTTCTCTTATTAATGTATTTAAATTGAGGCTGGTAAATTGAGTCTGACAAATAAACAGGTATCTCAACAGTTTCTTCTTTTTGGTAATAATTTCTAATAGTTAATAGATAATTGATCCTTGCTTGTAAAACAGCAATGGGATTTAAGTCTATCCCAAAAATATTGTTTGTAAAGTCTTTGTTGGTTAACTCGCGTTTTTCTTCAATAAGTTTTTTTATATAGCTGGTTAGAAAAATCCCCGAACCGCAAGCTGGGTCTAATACTTTGTTAATAGGTACTTTGCTCTTGCTATGCTTAGCGGCTTCCTCGATAACTAAATCGGCTAATCATTTAGGAGTGTAATATTCTCCGAGTGAATGACGCACTTCGGGCGGAATAAAATAACGATATAAATCAATAAAGAAATTAGTAGCCACAATATCATCATCTTTGTAATTAATATTTTCATATTCGGATATTTGTTCTATAATTTTTCGTATTTCATTTTCGCATTTTTCAAAAACTTCTACATATCAGCCAAAAAAATCTCCTTCAAAAAAATTGATAATGTTGTAATTTTCTTGGTGAATCTTTCCGTATTCCAAATTGCCTAAGAATTTTTTTAGTTCCGCTCGTGGCAAAAGAGAGATATTTTTTAGATTGATAGGATCGACAAAACTAAATCTTTTTTCTAATCCTTTAAGGGAAATTATTTTCAGGGCAAAAGCAAAAGAGGTTTGTAAAGCAAAAAGAGATTTGTTTATCCTTTCGTTTTCATTTTCGCCAACTTCTACATTAAAAAAATCGGAAAGCGAACGGACCTTTTTTAAGTGGTCCTCACTCCTGTTTTTGTCAGTCTCGGACAGGTTAAAAAGCCTTTTTCACTCACTAAATAATATGCTTATTTTGTTTAAGACCTGAGAGTTTTCTAAAATGAAAAATAACCGGCGAGCCAAATTATCGAGTGATTTAGTTTTTTTGAAATCATTTATCAGATTTTCCGAGTTAAATGCTTTTTTATTATTGTTTAATATTAAATAGATTAGTTTTCTTGTGGAATTTTCGTTAAGGGGAAATATGCCGATAAATTCTTTATTTTCATAAAAACCTAATTTATAACCATCATACAAAACAGCATTGACGCGCTCCGCTTCTTCTTTTTTGTCAATATATTCCTCTTCGATTTTCTTA